TGAGTGCAGCACAATGTACAGGGTGCCATTTTAGGGGTGGCTTCTTTTATCAGTGACAGTGATCTTTATAAAACACAAATCTAACAATAACATTCTTCCATTAGACTCTGTAGTGATGGTGCCTCATTACTACTAGAAAAAGTGCTAACTTCTTAACAGTGCCTCCCACATCCTCCTTTTCCTGTCACGAGCGTACATCTCGACTTCTTCCCTGCTGCTTCTCTCTTCAACACTCTTGTCTAAGCAAACTCAATTCCTTTTAGTTTTTCAAACGCTCAATACAGTTGGTCCTCATTATTTGCAGATTCCATATTTGCGAGTTCACCGACTGGGTAATGTTTCTTTGTAACCTCAAAATCAGCACTACTCACAGTACCTTTGCAGCCAGTTGCAGATATGCGCTTGCACACAGCAGCAAAAAATCTGAGGCACCTTAAGTGCAGGTTCCCAGTTGAGATTGAACAATTGTCCTTTTCATGACCTGTTTAGTGTGACTTTTTTTTTCACTTCTGTTCTTTTTGTTGATGATTTTGCTATTTAAAATGGTCCCCAAGTGCAGTGCTGAAGAGCTGGCTAGTGTTCCTAAGTGCAAAAAAGCTTATGTGATGTGGTAATGGAGAAGATACGTGTGTTAAATAAGCTTTATTTAGGCACGAGTTAGAGTGCTTTTGGCTGAGTTCCGTGTTAACGAATCAACAATGTATGTTGAATAAGGTGTCTTCAAACAGAAGCACAAATAAAACGAAGTTATGTATTGGTCAGTAGATGAAAATATTGTGCCTAGAGGCCCACAGGAAGCCAACTTTGTATTTCCCCAAGGGGCAATGATTCAGTATTTGCTAATCCAGTGTTTGAAGGGACTTTTTAGACCATACTTACTGTGAATAATGAGAACCCTCTGTATGTAAAATGATAATGACAATATAAAAATAGCTAACAATTACTGAGTGCCAACTAGGTACCAGGCCTTGTGCTAAATAATTTACAGGCATTATCTTGTGTAATTCCCATTATCTTATTTAACTCATGAGGTAGGTATTATTATTGACCCCATTTTTTATATGACATAACTAAGGCTTAGGGATATTAATAAGTCTCCCCATGAAACTGGGATTTTTTTTCCCCTGGTAGACTGAATTCAGAGCCGGAGTTATTAAAAATATTTCTTGACTGATGAATCACTTTCATTATGTTGCATTCCATTCTATCTGAATTTATAAGTACAGTCTTCAATGTATTTCTTGGTTATTTTCATTTTCTCCCTTAATAATAAAAATAGTAAGTTGTAATTTACTGTCATTATCTCTGATCATTCTAAGCTTTAGCATATTTAACAATTTCTGTGCTCAATTTATGTCATTTTAGAAATCTCAGATTATTTCTCATTCTAGAATATGTGAGGAATAATTCTTTTGGGGACACAATGATTATTAAGTACCTGGTTCCTGAAGACATTGAAAGTGGCAGCTTTCTGCAAAAGGTGTTTTCTCCATCTGTAATTTAGGGGAATTTTAAGGTCTTTTAACGACTCTGTAATTCTTTTTTTTTTTAATTGAAATATAATTGACATACAATATTAATCTCAGGTGTACATCTGTAATTCTTTTTCTTAAAAAAATCTTTCTCATTATTAAGTTTCAGTAAAAGAAAATTCACGGAAAATGTTATTAATTTTCAATAACTTTTATAGTAATCTTCCAATCACTTGAAACACTGCACAAACAATATAATGAAGAATTATTTTAATTTTATTGAGAAAGAAAATATGAAGTTTAAGTAATCTTCTCAAGACACTTAGAATCTATAAGTTCTATAAGAATCTATGGCTTAGAGAATCAATGAAACTGAGTTCTCTTCATGAGTCTAGATTTAAACAGCATTATTCTCTTTTCGCATCAAAGTGACACACCACACAAGGTGTCATTGCAGAGAATTACCGTGTTTGATTAACACTGGAATTATTTATTATCTATAATTGTGTGTGATAAAGATGAGGATTATGACAAACCTCAAAGGGAAAAATGTCTTGATGATCAATGAAAAACAGAATCCAAAAATGCAGAATTTTCAAAGCATAATTTTATATCTCATTTAGAATTCTGTCCCAAAGCTCTGTTCAGATACCTAGAGTTTCCTGTGGGAGCAGGAGGAGGGTCTCAGAAGAATGCTTCTAAGGCTCAGGGCCAGGTTAGCTCAGAAAAGGTGGGCCAGCCCTTTACTAAGAAATGTGAAGTCCTCAAATGAACATCAGTTGAGCGGCCTCACCTCCTAAGTTCAAAACAGCCTGTTGATTTAAGGATAGATGTTTCCATTTCAAACTATGCAGGGCCAAGTAACTTCCTTAAAAAATGGGGAAATTGAGGCTGGCCTGGTGGTGTAGTGGTTAAATTTGCCAGCTCTGCTTCGGCGGCCCTGGGGGTTCATGGGTTTGGATCCAGGACTTGGACCTACACACTGCTTATCAAGCCATGCTGTGGCAGCATCCCACAAAGAAAATAGGGGAAGATTGACACATATGTTAACTGAGGGACAATCTTCCTCAAGCAAAATGAGGGAGATTGGCAACAGATGTTAGCTCAGAGTCAATATTCCTCATAAAAAAAAAAAAAAGAAAACGGGGAGATTGGCTGTAGGAAGGGAAAAGGAATCACAAGGTTGAAATCCTGTGGAGATTAAGCAAGATTTTTGTTGAAAGGCAAAAGCAAAGTCTTTAGTGCCGGCAGGAACCAATCACTCAGGGAGGAAAGAAGTTGAATACTCCAGTCGACTTGACTGCAGATCTTGGTTTGAGGTCATCTTTGCTGCCCTTGACTGAAAGAAAGAAAGGAATCCACTGAGACTGGAAACTACTGTGGGAGCTGTGGTGTTTGTTGCAACCCAAGAGAGTAACAGGTCCCAGAAAAATGAGATGAACACAAGTGACTTCTGTACTGCGTGTTCTCCCCATGGACATAGTGCTGTTTCAACACCTGGGACAAAAATAAACGTCATCAGAGTCCATTACAGAGGCTCAATTCTCGAATGGTAATACTGTTAAACACACAGGGAAAAGCAAACCTTTTTAACTGCTATCAGAAACATATGCAATAGAATTTCAAGTCCAAGATATTTTATATTGTTTCATTTATTTCTCAATTCTCTGCCATATTTTTGAATCATCAGAGGCTTTCTAAAGAACACATTCTGTTTGGGTACACGACATCTCTTTTATTTAAAAATTTTATAATTTTTATCTTAGCATAGTTTCAAATTCTTTGAGGCATTCATGCTTGAGACTGTCTCTGTGATTCATGTTCTTAAGGTTTGAAAGGAAGTGCCTAGTAGTGACCTATGACCTATGACAGCCGTTCATCAACATTTATGAAATAAGTGAATGAATGAACACAGAAAATTGTTTTCCTTAAATAAAATTAATGACCTCCTGAACATTATTAATTAAGGCTCTTGTATTTAGTATTGGAACTATTTTGAATTGTACTGAATTCATCTATAAAACCCCATAATCCTACTGGTAAACTTTCACTGTTCAGAATCTCTACAGAATGAATGTTCTACATGGATTTCATCCCACTTCCTTTCCCCCTTTTAAGCTCCTCTCTTAGTGAATTGTTAGTGAAGAAGTAAGAAAGAAACACTGTATAAGACCACCAGGCCTTGCAGGGAGAAAGGTATACTGTTCTGAATTATTAGGGAAAGTCTAATTAAACTCTATGTCATTTAGAATAACATCAACATTATTTTTGAGTAGGTCTAGCTCTGGGTAAATTGTGAAGAAAGAGAAGTTTGTTTTTAGGTGCCACCCTCCAGCTTTCCATTCTGTATCCCAGCATCTCTCTGTCTCTTCCACTGCCTGCCTGTATCTGCCATGATCCAGACCCCTCAAGGCATCCACAAGTGCCTTCTGGATGCCTCTGCACTGACAGTAGCCCTGCATCTGGCGCTAATGTGAGCTTCCCTGTGCTCAGAACCTGGTGAGATCCTCTGCCTTCTTCCCATCCCTGTCAAAACTCTCTTGTCCTGAGTTCCATCCTGTCAAGACCCCACTGTCTTCTTTTTAAGGAGATTGCTAACTAATCTGATAAATGCAACCTCATTGATGTGAAACCGAGATTAATATATTGTGGAAGAAGTCTTCCCTCACCCCTTTTTAAAAATAATTTTATTGAAGGAATAACATACATTCAGAAAAGGTGCATTAGTCCTAAGTATGCAACTCAATGAAGGTGAGCATACACATGCAACCAGCACTCAGATCAAGACATAGAACATTACGAACAGCCCAAGCCCTGCTCCAAGCACTGTCTCCCCAAGTCTGCACTATTCTAATTTCCAACAGCACAAATGTTGTCCATTTTGTACTGTGCTTGGATTGAGTCACACCGTGTGTACTCTTTTGTGTCTGGCTTCTTTCACTCAGTGTTATGCTTGTGAAATTCCTTTGTTGTTGCATGTGTTTATGAATTATTCCCATTGGACATACAATATTCCATTGTATGAATATGCCACAATTTTATTCATTCTTTTGTCGATTTGTGTAGTTTCCAGTTTGGGACATTATGAATAGTGCCATGAATCTTCTTCACATGTTTTTTATTTGTTGATTTTGGGGTTTTTTGGTGAACATAACTTTGCTTTTCTTGTGGATATATACCTAGGGATGGAATTGTGGGTCCCAGGGAACACATGTATTCAGGTTTAGGAGAGACTCACAAAATATTTTCCAAAGTGGTTAACCAATATGGGGTCCCCGCAGCAGGATGCTAGAGTTTGGTTTTTCCAAATCCTCCCCAACACTTGGTATTGTTTGCCTTTTTCTTTTAGTTATTTTTGTGTGTGTATAATATTACTTCACCATAATTTTAACTTCATTATGTTAATTACTGTGAAATCGAGCATCTTTCCATGTGTTTATTAGTTTTCTATATACCTTCTTCTGCAAGGTGCACATTAAAGACTTTTGTCTGGTTTTCTATAATTGTCTTTTTCTTGTTGACTTATAGACATTATTGTATTTGAGAAAGGAACTCTAACCATGAAAGCAGAGAGCTGAGCAAGATGTAGAAAGCCTGGGAAAGATGTCGAGACATCATGTTGTTTCTATTTGTCTCAGTGCTCAAGTGTCCTTCAAGGGAACACAGGAACTCTACTCCTGTCTTTGGCCACGTAGACCATTTGCACCAACACCCTACCTTAGAAAATGGATGACATTTACTAAGCAAGTTACACATTTATGTTATTTTCCATCTGAGAAAAATCTGTTTCTAAGTCAAGATTCTGCTGAGTTGGCATCAAATATCAAAACCCCAATGGAAAAAAGATTGCAGAGAACCAGAAGAAGTGAGGGCGGAATGGAATAAACATCCTCGCCTTCGCTGTTGTGTCTCCCGGCCATGGATGCCACTGTGGTAATGTTACCCTACACGTGTGGTCACAGTAACCAAAAGCACAGCTTCACTGAAAGGCCCCTGGAATGAGCCCACAGCATTTGCAGCAGCCTGAGGAATTTTCCCATCAATGCTCCTCCTGGAAGAATGTGAGCAGCAATGCAGCGAATAACACAAATGCCGATTTATTAATGCCGTCAGCTGTATTTTCCTTTTTGTTTTTCAATTTCTTACTCTGTCACGGAACAGCTATAAGTTCCTAGGTTTGGCAACCACCTCTTTATTCAATTTGTACAGCGTTAGCCCATCAGTCGACTTGCAAAGGTACTGCAAGAATGCTGGTTAGCGACGATTTCAGTTCAGTCTGATTCAGTTTAACCTCAGACTCTAAACCTACAAACCTACGTATTTTTACAGGATTTCATAAAGGCTATAGCAAATAATTGTCTTTTGTTTTGTTTTTCGTCTGTTTTCCTTTCCTCAACGGTATGAGCCAACCGACACCCGACGTCCGTAGTGAGCCAGCTCCCAGTTGTTTGACCGTCCACCTCCAGAGACGGAGGATTTGAGTCGTACTGTGCTCCCCATTGAACAGAGTGAGCTTGGCTAAGTGACTCGACCTCTCTAAGCCTTTGTTTCTCATCTGTAAAAGGGGCTAAAAGTAATATCCACCTTTTAGAGTTGTCTGGATTAAAGGAGCGTATCCGAGTAATACTTTAGGTACACACACAGTAAAGTTGGCTAATATTGCTACATACTTTACAATGGAAAGATTACTTCATAAAGACGCATCTTTAACAGTTAACGTTTATCTGTAGTGTTTTTAACTTCACTAGTATTTTGGTAATGTTTCTTTCTTACCACCTGCCCTATAGCCATTGAGCTTTCTAGAATCAGAAATTAGGAAAAGTGACTTTTTATCTCCATGTTAGATTTAGAGAAATCAATCCTAATTTATAAGTGAACAGAATTAACAAGAAAACTTTGCCTCATACAAGTTCCCAAGTGGTATAAACATAAATAAAATGCTTTAAGTACTCAGATAAAAGAATCAGAAGTAAGATTTTATTAAAAATACCCAAGATGGAAACATAAGCCTGCAACAAACTCTCAATAGAGCGGGAAGTTGACTAAATTCTCCTGTCTCCCCTTTTCGTTCTTTTCCTTCTCCTGGGGTCTGAGACTCCCCTCCTGAGCCCTTCTGGTTCCTATTGCTCTCCACCGTGAAAATTCTTCCAGAACACAGCTTCCCCAGCCATGTAAACACTCTGTCTCCCAACCCATATCAAAACATCTTTATTGTATGATACACTCTTAAAGTGTGGCCCTCTTTGCTCTCATGTTGGCAAAAGAAAAGTCCCACTAAAATAGCTTAAAAATGTTATGGGACCACCTAACCAAAGATATGTCCATGTGAACAGGCAAATCTTGGTTTGACTCAAAGGAATCAATTCTTAATGGTGGAATGTTGGGAATCTCTTACAGAGCTGGGGATGAGATACTTTGGGAGAAAACAAATTTTCTTATTAGATCAAATTAGTCAGCCTATCAATGGCTACACAGCCCTGTGGGCAATCCTAGCCCTGATTAAACACATCCACTTGTGTGTACATATTTGTGTAGGATTAAGTGAACTTTCCCAATACTTTTTTCACTACATGTAATTATGTCTACTAATACGACTCACATCTTTCCTTCCTCCCATCACTTGAAAGTTGTTACAAGACACCATCTGAATAACGGCCATATTCGCATACCCATGATAAGCTGGACCTGAAAAGTAATTATCCCAGATTACCACAGGCCCTCTGATGCTAAATCAGCAGCCATATCCGTGCACACAGTTGCTCCCTGACCCTCCATTACTCTTCATAGAAAACCTGCAGAAATCCAAGGGGAGCAGTCCTTATGCTATTGGTTTAATTTACTTGCCATTTATAGATCTGGACTTGTTGGGGAACAGATTTATTTAGTCACTAAGAAATTCATGCAACCCAGGTCCGTATTAGGCAACAATTAAATGCTTATTCTTTGGCTGGCAAGCAAGCAACTTAAAAAAGCGGGCGGGGTGGGGGGCGGGGAGCTGGGGCAGAAGCAATGCTAACGCTGCAGCAGGCCTTGAGGATAATCCCTGAGCTGCACCCCCTTCTTCTGCACATCAGGAAACTGAACACAGAGAGCTGAGTGACAACAAAACGTGGCAGCAGTGGACCTGGTACCCAGGGCTCTGGATCCCTAGTGTGGTGCTCCTTCCACTAGGATTTCTGGTTTCAAAGGAAAAAAACTAGGACCTAAAACACGGTCCGATGCTGAAGCTGTAAAGTTTTATCACCAATTGTTAGGAAGAGCTGCATATCCCACTGATAGATAGACGCCTTAAAATATACGTCACTCTTCTAACTCTGTGACTATAATCTTTATGATACCTTCCGCACTTAGCGAGTTTCCATTTATATATTTAATCATTGTATCTCTAATTCGAAAAAAGAATTGCAAATTCATTTGTTTGCAGCTAGTTCAACAACTCTGCCAATGAGATAAACCTAAATGTTCGTTGGTGTCAGATATTCCTCTAACGGAGTCACCGGCCTCAGCATCACTCTGGTCTTTATGTACATCAGTAACAGTACAACACATGACGTGTCCAGAAGACGAGCTTCTCCAGTGCTCAAGAAGGGAATAGAAGAAGCTGTCTAATGGTACTATAGGGAATGCAAGAGTGAGAAAATACAGGGAATAAAGCATGAAGTGATTAGTCTGGTGTTGATACAAGGTTATTTGTACTGAAGTAGGAGGCAAACAAGAGGGGGAAACGAGAGCATCATGGAAATAACTTTGGATAAAACATTGAAGTCAATCAGTTTATGTATTACATATCATTTCTTCTTTCATATTCTTTATTCTGCTTTCCTGTAAAGTAGCAATTCAGTGCCTAATGACAGTCCACAGCACGTCATTTAGCACTCGCTGACTCCTGTCTGCTCACTAATTTGAAATCCATAAACTTTAATATTATATGACTTTTCATTTTGATTCATGGGTGTTAAAAATCTGCTATAAATCACAATTCAATTAAAAACTAATTTATGTAGGGGCTAGCCTGGTGGCATAGCAGTTACGTTCTTGTGCTCTGCTTCAGCAGCTCAGAATTTGCAGGTTTGGATCCCAGGCACGGACCAAGCACCACTACTCAAGCCATGCTGTGGCAGCATCTCACATAAAATAGAGGAAGATTGGCACAGATGTTAGCTCAGTGACAATCTTCCTCAAGCAAAAAGAAAAAATAAAACCCTAATTTATGTAAACTTTCTAGTAGGAAACATTTTCATCATTGACAGAAAGTACCCTTGTTGTCCTCTTGCCCCTGTTAGAGAGTAAATGAGTCCCCCCTAAACCCTTCTCTGTATAAACGAGACAACTCTGAGGACCAGGAGGCATTGGTCCTGCATCCTCTAGGGAGGCTCACATTTTCAGGTAAAATCATGAGAGATCAGTTCCCACCAGGCACAGATGGAATTCCCAATACTGTCCCTAACCGTCACCCCACTTCCCCTTGTCCCGTGTGTGTGACCATCTCTGCGACTTTATAAAATCACTGTTTCAAAATGGAAGATGCTCAGAAATGAAATGGAAACAGTTAAAATAGGCTGCGTCCAAAGGAGAACAACCCAAAGCATGGAAATTATGGGTTTGGGAAAAATGTTTTCTTGGTTTATTTGATTAACACTTTGCCACTGAGGAGAATTTTCCTCTGAGGTTTCTTATTCTGGATAGTTTTTAATGTAATTGGTTTAAGTGATACTTTACTTAAATATACCTTAAAAAGAAATCTGCCACTAGCTATAAAATTTTCATGTTCAGTCCAATTGACTTCAAAGTAATCCAAAATGCTTATTCCCAAGCGACACCTATCAGTCTCCAGCTGTGCTCCTGATGGAGAGTGACATCTGAAACCAACAATTAAAGTTACCTAATGCCACGACTCTCCAAAGACTAAAGGGCTTTACAGTACCCTATCAAAGCTGCTCATAACCGGCTCATACTATTATTGTTTCTATAAGTGTGCTGGGAGGATTAATTTCTTGACACTCATTTAACATTACAGGAAAAATAATTTTCAGAGCCAAAAGGGTGTTCTTTGCCAAATCGGCGCATTCAAAATAGTATGTTTTAATGAAAAACTGAAAGTATCATAACTTTGACTATTTTGTGTGTATTCTATAGTCATCCTGGCCTTTTCTCTCATTATCTATGTGACATCAACTAAAGGATATTACTGAAATTTAAAACTTGCCTTAAAGAAACAGAAAAGCCAGAGAGAGAAAGAAGGAAAGAAACAGAGAGAAGGAACCCCCAGGATATAGTACCATTCAGATTAAGGTATAACAGGGCGATTTTCTTGTTCTGGGATGTAGAAATCTCAAAACTCTTACAGGCATCACTACCCCAAATCTCCGAAACATACCAAAATATCATTAGTATCAAGCTCTAAATTTGAGATTGAATTAATTTATTTATGCAACAGACATTTACTGGGTACCTACTATGTGCCACGTTCTGAGATGGGTTATGTGTGATGTGAAAGGAATTCTTGCTGAGATTGGGAAGTAGACATCCTGAGCTATGACTGCAACTAGAATCAGCCTGTAAGTCCTTTATTTAACCCTACCTCCTTCCTTTCTACTCCCTACCAGTTAGGCAGCCTCTTCTCCAGCTCCTCCTTCCCTTGATTTTCACTCATAAAAATAAACTATCAGGACCATGTAGAATTGATTAGAGTGATTTAAAGGAACTTAACAATGAAATCGTACAATTGTTGGGCACAAAGCATGATGTATCAATGTAAACAGTTAAGGTGCTGGACATCTGGTAGATTTCCAACAGGATTCTCAGTTTTTAAAAAATTTCCAGAGGGGACACTCTAATCGGTAGTAGACTGATGAATCTCAATTCCATATTATACAAACCAAAATAACACATAAATAGCACATAAAACTACTGGGAAGATTATAAACATTGAAATACAAGCTATTTTTGAGAAAGAAGTATACTCTTTTTTTGCTATTTCTTTCGCCTCTTATTTGTTTTAGGAACTAAATTCTTTATCAAAGATTGCATTTTAGATAATAGGTTTTGTTCTGACATAGATAATAACTGACTTTCAGCTGGAAAACACAATGGGATAAACAACACTTTTGAGGTTTAGTATCAAACATGGTACTGAATAGAGTACTACATAGAGAATAGAGCTTAATATTTTTGAAGATGATCTAAAGGAAGAAACGTTCAGTTAAATATGTAATCTTTCAGATGATAGTAAGCCACTCTGGGTTTGTAAAACGTCAAGTGGAAACATTCGGAAGCATGTATTAAGGCTGTGTGCAGGAAAGGCTTTATCAAGGTGAACTTCAGGATGTGGGCTGCAAGGCAATTGATTTAGCAAAAGTACCACAAATGGTGCTTTGGGATGACGACTTCTAAATTGTAGGTTACAATCCTGGAGAGATAACCGTTATAATTAGATTATTTCTGAAGAAATTGGCCCAAGTGCTGGTGAGACTATCACAAAGTATTTTGTTACATTCTTGACATTGTTTGGTAATATATTAGAAACATAAGAGAACTGGTTGTTCTACCTTTGCCCAGAATTATGGATCATCTGCACCTGGAATGAGATTATAGTTTTCGTGACTATACTCCATAAAAATTCCCATGGGTTTTGAGAAAGTCCAAACAAAAGGCAATTGCAGTTGAATTTTGTGTAGGTTCATTCCTTCATTGTATAGGATGATTGGGGCTCTTCAGTTTCCTCACAAGAAAATTCTGGAGGCCTTTTAATAGAAGTCCATTAAATTATGAAGTTATGAAGATGCTTTTAAGAATATTAAAACAAGGGAACAGTCTTTGCAGAAAGGGATTTTTTTGAAGTATAGATTGATTCATATATAACAATGGGTTATTAATAAAAACTGGAATTTTGGGGTCAATTTAATAGGCAGAGATGACTGTTTTGTTTGCTAGGCCTTCTCAAATCTCAGGTTATATATTAATTTTAAAAACAAGAAGAAAGCCAAAGACACTTCTTTTCAAATCAGTGTACAGTCCTTGACAGTACAAAATTTCCTAGGTACTGGGTTGAGTAATCCTGTACGAGTTTTAATATGAAAAATCCTTCATCACCACTACCTTAACAGAAATGCTAATAACATTAGAATAACAGATTTGCTGTTTAGTGATTTGAGGAATCTAAGTGAAATACAGATTGAAAAAGAGAAAACAGTATCCTTTATGTTCCATCAAGGATGGCACCAAGGTATAATCTGCTGACTCCTCAACAAGCAGAAAAGCCCAATGAGGAGTTAATCTAGCCAGTTACTCATGGTGCGCAGACCATCGACAGCCATGAGAAGCCAACCATTTCATGTAAGCACACACTTCAAAGTTGCAATGAAATGGAAAAGAAGCTAAAGCAAGTTTTTCTTTGTTTTGAAATACAACCCTCAATGAGG